GGGCAACATATCTTGCTTGCCTATGATTCTGACTTTTGATATTGGTTAGTAGATTAATGAATTATATGTGATTGCCACTGATATGTTGTTGTTGTGAATTTCTTTATCAATTATAATATGTGATCACAATTGACTTGATTTACTTGTTTCTCACATATTCATGTGATATCCTGCCCTTTACTTATTTTTTTGTTATGTTCTTCTGTGCATGTGTTATTAAAATAAATTTGGAGGGGAGTAATTTGTGAAATATTTCCCTTTAAGTTGAAGTAGAAATTTAATTTTAGAATGTATATAAAATAAAGAGGTTGAAATAGATAAAGATAGATATGAATTTTAATAACAAATAATTTTTTTTAAAAAAGTGATAATAAAATTTTGAAGGGTATGAATAGGTTTAGTAACTCACAAGTACCTGATTTATAATTATATTAATACCTAATCTATATAGTTTTTTATATATTCTTATTGAAGCAATGACTACTTATAGAATTAACAGCTTAACACTATAAAAATAAGTCATTACTAAGATTAAATTATTACGTAATATTTTTTGAACTACAAACTTTTTGAAAGTTAGGAAGGGAATTATAATTGACTTAGGATAGGATCGTTATTCAAAATCATTAAAAAGAGCTTAATCAAATATAGTAATCCTCCCAAAAAAATAAAAGAAAAAAAATAAAAAAATAAAAAATAAAAAAAGGTTCATGATTGCAAAGGAAAAAGTTTAAGAACCGATGAGGAGAAGCTTGAGGAAGCTTAAATGTAAAATCGGTACTTATAAACCTTTCTAATAAGTCAAAGGATCAAAAGTTTTACTAATTTCTCCCTGAAATTTTGTAGTTGGAAATATAGTAATAAAATTAACATTGTTTAAGTGTGCATCTAGCCATATTTTATCCATGAAGTATTAATTTCATAGTAGTCAAACCTCACATAAGTAATTTAAGATGGATTATATAGATTTAGTATTAGTAATAATAAATTTGGGATATTAGGAAGTTGCTTTAAAAACTCTACCCAAAGGATAGATCTATGCATTTTAATTTATATACTTAGTGAATTAATAGAAAACATTAAAATCCTTAATCCAAAATTTACCCTAATCTTTTTCAAAGTCTAATTCTTAATCTTGAAATTACTTAAGGGCAAGTATTAGATAAGTTTGGGGATATTTGATATGTATCAAATGTGTATAATTTTTAAATATTATTTGTATCATTTTTATGTTTTGCTAATGTATTCAGTAGTAAAAAAAGATGAATTATAGTGCCTAAGGATTGAAACGACGTCCAGGCACAAGTTCAGGTCACCTAGAACTAGAGAACCAAGCTCCTATGAACGAAGCTTAGGCCCTCATGCCCCTGAATCTAGAGGACCAACCACCCATATCAAGAGGACCAGGCACCCATGCACCAATTTTAAGCGCCCACACATCCTTACAGATGGGATTTCGGTTTAAGCGTCTCAGTTCATGTTGCTTCATGGGTGAAGAATTAATGAGTGTAACATGAAGAATCAAGGGTTTTTTTAATGTTGTTTTAGAAGTCTATACTCTATAATAGCCAGATGAGATATTCATGACAGTTTGTGAGAGAATTGTGAGGCAATATTATCTTGTAATTTGCATTACATGTGATACTTGGTCACTCTTGTGGAGTAGAATGGAAGTCGGTTGGAAGAATTAAAGGGTGTAATCTAAGCATCAAAGGGTAATCTGTCGAATCTATAATTTCTAAACTCTTTTGTTTTTCTTTGATAAATAAAATGATATTTTTATTGTTACAGAGCATGAGTAGAATTAGATCTCATTTTCTCTCTTGAACTGGTAATATAGAAATCTAAGGTTTAATATTGTTATGTGATTAAATAAATCATAAATTCTAGTAATGTTTTAAATTTTTGATCTTCATTTACTTTCAACTAGAGCAGTTGAATTGTTAAAATTATTGTGATCTATGAGTTTCAAAAGAAAACTTAGTGGAACAATTAGGTTAAAGTAAAATTAGAAGAATAAGAATATTGTATCTACGTGAGTGCAATCATGTAGAGAGATGCAGAATCCTGGCGACTTCTGCATAGTCTAGGAAATTAAACTGTAAAAGAAATCACAAGCCTTTTTTTACCACTAGAGGGGGCTAAGGAGAAAAGCTGACCCTAATTGTCTTAAATAACCTTTTCACTTATTTAAACTTAAGTTTTTAAGACCCATCAGTGGACTCTTTCATTTGATAGAAACTCTCAATTAATTTACTTAATTTGTTTGTTTTTGCAAAAGTTAGATTCTTTCACCTGATAGAAACTCTCACATAAAATATCCAAATGTTAATTACTTTAGCTTGGTAGATTATAACTTTTCATATTTTGGAAAGATAACTTGTTCCTCGTGAGATCGACACACAAACTCAGATCTATATATTACTTGAGTGATATCTATACTTGCTTGATTGCCACTTGCTTCGCAGCAATTTCAGACATCACCGTCCCATTAAATTCTTCTTTGTCTGGTACAACAAACTAAGAAGCTAAAATGTAACAAGTTTGATAATGTGTTAATTTCATTTTAGTAGCTTCATATAATTTTTAATTTTCTATATATGCATGAATGTTTGTCAAAAAATTTCATTACTTCAGGCATACTATAATTTTAAAGATTTAAGATTCTACAAGAGTTTTGAATAAGAGGAGATGAGTGTATTAGTTTGGTCTATTTTACTTGTAACCATAACACACATTCTCTTTCTCTCTCTTCTCGAATTGTGTTTATTATAAATACCTCGTGTTTTATTTCCTTCTCCCTATCCTATGCCAATCCACCTAACATGTTACCAATACTAATTAAACAAATGATAGTAATTGTTGTTGACTGAGTTAGTAGTGGTTTGCAAATTTTAATATAAATCCTTCGCTCAAAACATGTCTGCTTCAATATAGTTTTCTATAAATATGTATATGTATACATACATACATACAATTACTAATACATTTATAGGGTACATACATACATACATATGTATATGTATACATATACACATATAGATACATACATACATATGTATATGTATACATGCATATAGATACATACATATGTATGTATATGTATACATACATATTTATGTATGTATGTATATAAACACACACATGTATGTATGTATGTATAAATTATATTTAATTCCAACCTGCTAAATTTAGTAAAATTTAATTATATAATATACTTCAATAATCAATTTACAAGTAACAAAATCTTTTAATGCAAAATTTATTGTTTCCAAGTAACACCTAAAAATGCAATTCAAAGACACAAATTAATGCATAACTAAAGCTTTTATATTTGATTTTAATTTTCAGTTGCTCGTCATGTGACAACTACTTCCCTATCTTCTTGATCTTATGTTTTATCCAATAAATATTCATTGATATTAAGCATATAGTTTACTTAACTTATTATTTTGCTTCAATTTAAATGTATTATTTAATATAATTGCTAGTTCATAAAAATGGGAAAAATCAAGATATGTGATATTAATTGTAACTTGGGAGTAAAATTTTAAGATCATTTTTTGTGATCTTTATTTGAGAAAAATCAAATTAGGTAATTTACCCACAACTCATTTTAACAAAGAGCGTTGGGCAATTTAATGAAAAACTTCAAAGAGAAAATTGGACGAATGTATAATAAAATACAACTTAGAAATAAATGGGACCAACTAAATAAAAAATGAAAGTTATGGAAAGTGCTCAAGCGAGAGTCTATTAAATTGGGTTGAAAGCCTAAAAAGCAAGCAGTTGATGTACCTGATAAATGATGGAAAAAAAAAATGATGTTAATCAATTGATACGTGTCGGAAGGTCTGCGATAGTAAAGTGATTATTTAGTATCTTAACATTCCATAAAATTCCAGCACGCCACAAGTAATTAAAGTGACAGACAGAAGTCACCTTAATTTTTATGTGAAAAATATAGAAAGGAAAAAAAAATCACGAGATCTAGACCATTTGAAGTTATTCACTGTATAATTAAGAGTGCATATGCTCACTTTTCTTGTG